CAGTAAAGCACACTTCTGGGGGTGTCTGAATGGGTCATGGAGGTGTGACTTTGGGGTCCATATCTGGACCACATCAGACAGTTCCTTTCTGGCACCATGCCCTGCTGAGCTTAACAGTGGCCATGAACTAAGCATCTGTTCTGCCTGGTCTTCTTCCATGAAGCTTCTGCCTTGGAGCCAGCTGACCAAGGACTGGACCCCTGAAACCATGAGCTAAATTAAACCTTTTCTTTAGTCATGGATAGTTTGTCCAACAGTGGAAAAGCTGACTAATACAAGGTACCCATCCTACAGCCATCTAGAAACTACTTGCCATGCCCAGGACTAAACAGTCTTCCCTGGCTTCCCTTCTCCTCCCTCATGGACAGGCACACGCCTCTGCATTTTTAAGACAGCTCAGCTTCCTTTCCTATTTCAAAAGGAGCTTGGTTCCCCAGACAGAGAGACTCTCCTGGACCTGCTTCCAGGAGACCTAGTGCTACTGAACTTGTTAGAAACTACACTACAATGACCAAGTCCCTTTCTCACTATAAGTAAGAGGGTACAGACAGCAGCCTTTTTCTTTTTTTTTTACACACACACAGTCATTTATTTTATGTTAAGACAGTAATTTTGTTAACCAGAATGCTTGGATTAAATTACCTTATTCTTTCCTGCTTTTTAAAGAAAGACAGAAGTTCAAAGCACTCAAAGTGCTGAGTAAGCAAGTGTGCATGTAAACTGAGTAAAACATGAATACTGATTATTTTGTCATTTTGGTCTGGTCCAGAAGAGGCCTATTTTAGGAGCATGACAAAACATACTGCATAAGAAGACTACTGATAACATCAGGTTCTGAACTCGGGAGATTTTACGCATAAAAATAATATATTTTTCTTAGAAAAAATAAAAGAGAAGCAGACAACAACGTTAAAATGATTTTTCTTATAGATCTCATCAACAGTATTAGCCTAGTCCAGTGGTGGCAAACCTATGCTGCACATGCTGCAGTACCTGTATCACTGAAAGCTCTAAAAGGTTCACCATCACTAGCCTAGTAATTTATCAATGTGAATTCTTAGAAGAATCTCATCCTTAAAGGAGGTCCACAATATCTGCCTTAAGCCTTACTACAAAATAAAAAGAAATAAGGTGATAAAATGCTAACATAGAAATAAGTGACATCTAAAAAAAAAATCTTAAAAAGTCCAAGAAGTATATTCCATGATCAAACCAATGAAAATTCCTAAAAATGAGTAAAATACTTCATCACTAGTAGATGACTGCATATCTAAAATAGAAAATGTCACTTTTAATAGTCTGGAGAAAAGATCATGTCAACAATTTGGAAATAAAAACCTACATAGGTGTTGACATAAGAAAAAAGTACAATACAAAAAAATGTTGAGGGGCGGGGATTTAGCTCAGTGGTTTCGCCGCCTGCTGCGCAAGTGCAAGGACCTGAGTTCTATCCCCGGTACCAAAAAACCAAAACCAAACAAACAAAAAAAATGTTCAGAGTTATTTACAGATTTAAAAATAGTTCCGATCTTTTCAGCAAAAATGGCAGCACACCAAGTGCACCAAATTATCACAGTCATCTTTCCACAGAGAAAAATACTAATGCAGACTACGAGATTTCTGAAAAGATTCACCACTGTATAATTTTTATTTAAAACTTTAAGATTTTATCCATGCTTATAATGCAGAAGAAAAGAGAAAATCTTGGAATAAAGACTAAATTTTAGTTTCTTCTAAAAAGAAGAAAATATGACACTGAAACCCTGAATAACAATTATAATTCATAAGGAAGCACAAGAACATGCCAATTCATCCTGTTAGTAGATATAATGCTGGGTAGTAATGAAGATTGCTTATCTAGTCAAAGGTGTTTGACAAACCACACCTTTAATCAAGTTTTCCATTCTGAAGACTATTATTGGCTTTCTCTTGTCTGATGAGAGAGATGACTTTGATGCACCCTTTAGAGATTTTGATCATCCACATGACATTCATCACATCCAGAACAATACAAGTAGAGATCCAGGAACACTGGATTACAAATCCCAGCCTGATGTAGGGTTCTGTTCCGTTCACGGAATACAAGAAGCTATAGAAAGGAGGTATTACAGCAATTTGCACAATGAAGAACACCATTGACATGAGAATTCCATTGATAACATTAGCTTTGGAAAACTTTGGATACTTCAGAGCTTCAAAGAACCACCACTGATTCACAAAAGGGCTGGAAAGCTCTCCAAGCAGTCAAAAATTTGCAATGTACTCCAGCACTTGATATTTCAGTACAAAGCAGTATGCATACAGTGCTGCACAATGATGAATTATGAAAAATGTGTCACCAGTTTCCAATAGAAAATGAGAATCAACAAATCAGAAATGAGGTAGCCTGAAGCAGTAGCAATATTTAGTTTCACAAGTGATGAATCACCCCAAAGTGGATCAGCTCTAGTAGCCTCATCAAAGAAGAAAATATAAGAGGCCCAAAATCCCAACCACCAGAGAATGGCATGTAGATACTACCCTTGAGTTCCATTCAATCTTCTTTTCCAAGCTGAGACTATTAAAACCTGAAGAAACTTTTGCAGAAAACCAGTAATTTACAAAGTGGAAAAGAAACTGGAAGGTGAAAAAGCTAGTACAAAGAGTGCTGATGACCTGTTTGGTGTTGGTATCCATATTTCATCAACAGTTTTTAGTCCACCATCGTCTGTCCCTGAGGGAGGGTACAGAGGAGCAACAGTTCACTGCAGCAGAAGCAGGAAAAGCAACAAGGGAGCACCCTTTTTCTTATTGTTCCCTATCTCTTAGCACACAGTAGCCCCTGAAAATATTTGTTGAATGAATAAATAAGGGGTTAAATCACACCAGTCATCTTTTGGACTTTGGTGAATCAGTCCAGATTTTCAGAATAATTTTAGGAACCAATAAGATTGCAATTTTTAATGTCACCAAACTATAAAACAAACCAGAAAACAAATGCCATTTACTATCACATCTTTTCATTTTTTCTTTTTCGAGGCAAGGTCTCACTACATAGTTCAGGCTTGCCTTGAACTCACTGTAGAGGCCAGGTTGGCCCCAAATTCATGGCATTTCTCCTGACTCAGCCTTCCTAGGGCTGGAATTATAGGTGTGTGGCACCACACCAGGCTAAAAAGTCAGTCCAGTTAAGGGAGTAAATCAGCTTTATGAAAATTATAGGCCTTGTTTTTTTTCATTTCATTGCAGACTGGTGAAAACTAGTGACTAGGGCTTCTAAATATAACACCGAGTCTAATAAACTCTCTGTATGTGTTCTGTAACCTTGACTGAGTTTACTCGGAGGGCCAGTTCACCAGATTAAAACTTTACCAGTGGAGGATGTTATAGACCCTAAGGCTCCTCTTTCTGCACAAGAGTGAAAGCCACAGGGGAGGCATTAATGAAGTCAGCTTTCTCTAGTTTTCCTGACAACACTGGCAATCTAAGGGATTTCTCAGAGGTCAGCATTTTGCTGACTGTTCTGTTGAATGATACAACTGTCAGTTTTAATTGAGTTATATTGAATAACAGACAGGAAGTGTGAGACCAGGTTTTGGGGTCTTAAACATTATTTAGAAGTATCAGATAGAGAGGCTCCTACCTATGTTCTCAGTATTGTATTGTGAAAGTAACTACCAGAGGCTTAAATAACTTCAACCGCTTCTCATTGTTTAGAGAAGAGTCTTGCTGGGTAGCCCAGGCTGGCCTTGAGCTTGCCATCCTCTTGGCTCAGCCTCCTATATGCTGGAATTACAGCCATGCACTACTTGCTCAAAGATGCTGTTTAGCACCTGCAAGGCTTTGGATTCAATCTGAAGGGGAAGGAAGTTTCACATAGAATAAAATGGAACAGAAAAATGCAGATGCCTTGAATGCATGAGGCCCTAGGTTTGATTTCCAGTACCACAAAAAATAAAATACAATGAATTTTTAAAAATTTCAGAATACATCAAACTTCGTAAGTGCTCTTCCAGTGACCTATATGCACCCCAGCCCCACAGGGTGATACTTTAAATTGGTAACTAATTGTTCTGAGTAACTTGAAAACTCTGCTCAAAGGGAAATTCTCTTTTTCTCTCCTGAAATACCACACAACCACATTTTTTCTATTCCTGTTTTTTGGGGGGTTTTTTGGTACCAGGGATGGAACTCAGGTTCTCGCACTTGCACAGCAGGCGGTGAAACCACTGAGCTAAATCCCCAGCCCTACTATTCCTGTTTCTGCATTTCTCCTTCCCAATAATTGCTAATATGAGAAGTGGTTTAAGGTTAGTTAAGCCTCTGGTAGTTACCCTGACAATACAATATTGAGAAAATAGGTAGGAGCTTTTATTAGATCTTGGCGGTGGGAAAGAAAATTAACATTATGGAAGCCATGGCCCAGTAGTAGAATTGTGTACTTTATCTTAAGTCTCATTTAACACTCACAGTGCTACAGCTACAGTAAGGATTACTAAAGGAGGAAAGAAGACTGATGCATTTAATGATTTTCCCCCAATTATACAGCTAAGGGTGAAGGACTGGTCTTCAAGCTCAAGTTTGACCACAAAGATTGAATATTTTTTCTTACAAATTCTCAGATGATGCTGCTAGTCTGGGGTCCCCGTTTTCAGAAGCACTTGGAAAACTTTATCATCTAGTACCTGGGTTCTGCTTTTTGTTTAGTTTGTTGGTCCAATTTTTGATAGTGTTGTTACCTGTTTTGAGGTGCTGGAGTCTCCTCTCACAGGTGATTTCTAGGTCTTTTTCTATTACCATGGACCCTAGCTCCCTATACCATGGTACTTCAGTTCACGAACTTAATTCTTTCCATGATGCTGGGTGCAAACTGAATTGGACAAGAAGTGAATCAAATTCAATGGTTAGGTTCAATGTTCACCTTATGGAGAAATTTGATTCAGTTCTCCTTCAGTTTGGTTTGCAACCAAAATTGTGGAAAGAATTAAATTCATGAACTGAGGTGCCACTGTATTTTTTAGATTCACCAGGGTAAAACCCAAACCACCCAAGGCTCCAGAAAACAAAGGAGAGAGACTACAAACCTCATACACCTGCAAACCAGTGGATGGCCTCAAGTTTGTTTTCAGAAAATACCAACCAACCTGGTGTGCCAAATAGGTAAACCATTTTGTTCCCACTGAATACAAGGGAAAATCAGCCCCTTCTTGGAAACAGGGTCTCTCCTTGTATGGCTTATGTAGCAAGTTTTGCTACTATTTTGCCTGCTACAACTCACTTGTGAGATGCTCACCTCAAGTTAAAATGACCTCTTTTGGCTTGTTCTTATCTTTCTTGGGATCCTCTTTGGTGGCTCAAAAATTGTTTCTCAAAGAGATAATAGTAATTAATTGCACATAGCCCTAAATTTAACCATATCCCTTTCCTAATTCTAACATTTAGCTGAAAACCTGACAGCCTAGATGAAATTGCCCAGAACATTGTCATCCTCCAGAATCAAGTAGACTCACTGGTAGCAGTAGCCCTATAAAGCCATAGGGGACTAGGCCTCCTAGCTGCTGAAAAAGGGAGATTATGTTCGTTTCTAGAAGAATGTTGCTTCTATGTCAGCCAATCTAGAACAGTGAGAGATGCAGCACAAAAGCTAGCTGATCACACTTCTAGGATCTACCAGGAACTATCTGAGCCCTGGGGAGCAATCCCTGATCAAAAATCTAGAATTGGGCATTGTTAAGGGTTGTACCTAGATGTCTGCCCAAAGCCTCATGCACTCATAGGTGAGGCTTTTGGTGGTGGCTGGACCATGAGGTGTGTGATACTGGGATTAAGGGCGTGGATAATGGAAGGCCCATGCTGGGTGTGGATGGCACTCCCCAAAGGGCAAGTAGCCTGAATGGGATTAAAAAAGAAGAGGTGGAAGGCAGGCTGCTGCTGCCACCACTGCCACTGTCTCCTGCCACTGTCTCCTGCCTATTCTGTCATGGACCATTTCTCTTCTGCACCACCCCTCTGCCATGCCACCCTGCCTTAGAGCCAGCCAACAATGGACTGAAATCTCTACAAACTGTGAGCAAAAATAAACTTTTTCCTCCTTTAACTTAAGGGTGTCAGGTATTTTGTCTCAGCAATGAGAAAGTAACTAAGGCATCCTACTTACTTCCCTTGATAGGGCCTTTATTAATGCTTCTCATAGTCTTACTGCTTGGACCATGCATACTTAATCTCTTAGTCAAATTTGTTTCTTTTTGTTTAACAGCCATTAAATTTCAGATAATGAGCCAAGCCAAGGATTAAAACCCACTTCCATATCTACAGCTCATCAAGAACTCCTTGGAGGAGGCATATAGCTCTCTTAGCCCCTAGATCACAGAGGACAAGAGCTTCATGGTCTCTGGGTAGGTAGGGCTGGTGCCCCTATTGAGTAGGAAGCAGCTATGGGAAAATGGACATTCCTCCCTTAGCACCCTTAAAGATTTTCAGGGACCAGGTCTCTTGGAGTAATAATATAGATAGCACAATTGGATCTATGAGACCACTGCCCTCCACTCAAGCCTGGGCAAAGCCCCAGGACCAACCTCCTGACCTTTGTCCTAAGGCCTACACTCCAGCAGCAGAGATAAAAAAGACCCCTAGGCCCACCTTAGAAGATTCTGAAGTCCCAAACCTAGATGCGTATGTACCAGATTCTCCAGTATGATTTTTAGTAACTGTTTTTCACTTGGAGCTAATTGAAGGTTCATCTATATGGACTGCATGTCATACATCCAGTTATAACAGTGAATAATGGGAAAGGACATGCACAGTCGACAAAGCTGATATGACTCAGCACGCTGTCAATCATGCTCTGAAAGAACCAATGAGAGGTTCCCTAAACCCACTGCAACATTTCAAATTCTTAAACCCAACATATCAACACTCATACCATTTTCCTTTCCGCTGGTATGATCCCTCTCACTCTGAGCATAACTTTGCATAATTAAACTGCTTTTTCCTAGAAAAAAGAAAAGCTGAGTGTGGTAGTATATGCCTATAGTCCCAGCACTCAGGAGGCTGAGGCAAGAGAATTGGCACAAGTTTGAGCCACCTTGGGCTATGTAGTGAGTTTAAGGCCAGCCTGAATAGCAAGAACCCTGTCTTGAAAGAAAAAGCAAAATAAAGAAGAAATGGGGATTGGGGGTGTAGCTCAGTGATAGAACGTTTGTATCTAGGAAATTCTGGGTTCAATTCCCAGCACCACAAAAAGAGACTTTTTTTGGTGTTTTTTTTTTTTTTTTTGAGAAAAAGACTTTTAATCAAGAATTTAACCTCTCACTTTAAAATGCTGAAAAAATCCAAATGTGGTGGTGCACTCCTGTAATCCCAGCACTCAGGAGGCTGGAGCAGAGGAGTCTGTGAGTTCAAGACCAGCCTGAATTACATACAAACAAAGTGCTGAAAAAGGAAGGGCAGACTAAAGTAGAATGAAGGAAATAATAAAGATTAGAGAGGAAATTAATAAAACAAAAGATAATGGAGAACATAAGTGAGAACAGAAGCTGGTCTTTTGAAAAGATTGGTAAAACTGACAAATCTTTAGCTAGATTGACCATTAAAACAACTCATAATACTAGACTCAAGTGAAATAAGGAGAAGCTGGGGATGTATCTTAGCAGTACAGCACTTGCCTAGTGTGTGCAAGGCCCTAGGTTCAATCTCCAGCACCGCCAAAAAAAAAAAAAAAAAAAAGTAAACTAATGGACATTATTGCTAACATTATAGAAATTTTAAAAAGGATTATAAAGGAATCCTATGAACAACCATATGCCAATAAATTAGATAATTTGGATGAAATGGACACATTCCTGTAAAAACATTACCAAAACAGATATCAAAGCTGAGTGTGGTAGCTCACACTTGTAATCCCAGCACTTAAAAGGCTGAGGCAGAAGGATTTCTGGGAGATTGAGGCCAGCCTGGGTTATATAGTGAGTTCAAGACCAGCCTGGACTACATAACAAAACCCTGTCTCAAAAAAAGAAACAGAGACAAGCATCAGAGTTCAGGTCCCTGTCCAGGTACAAAAACAAAAGAGAACAAAAACAATAAGACAGGGGGAAAGGATATGACAATTTGAATATACACACAAAAATTAAATAGAGACTGAATTAGAAATCTTTTTAAAAATCCTATCCCTCCCACACACAAAATAAAAAATAAGTAAATAAAAGAGCCAGATGGCTTCACTGGCAAATTCTAACAAATATTTAAAGGAGAACAGCAACATTCAGAAACTCTTCCAAAAAATATAGCAGGAGAAAACACTTCCTGATTTTCTGAAGCTAGTAATTCCCTGATAATGAAACCAAAGATACTAGAAAAAATAAAACTACAAACAAATATGTCTTATGAATATGGATGTAAAAATCTTCAAGAAAATTCTCACAAGCTGATCTCAACAACATATAAAATGAGTTCTACACCATGATCAAGTGGGATATATCCCAGGAAGCTGAGATTGGTTTAATACCCAAAAATCAAAAAATTGATTGATGAATATACCATATTAACCCTTCAATGCTTAGTGATCCACTTTTGGAATACCCATAACAATGGAACATAATGAAATGTGTTCTCTTAAAATTCTTTATCCTTGAATTTTTCTAGGTGACATGAATTTCATGCAAAAATTCAAAAAATTCAATCTTTAGCATAAATAGGTTAACAGAATAAAATAAAAAATCTAGGACTATGAATATTGCTCAGGTAGAGCACTTGCTTGGTAGTATGAGGCCATGGTCTCGACCCTCAGCACCGAAAAAGCTAAACAAACAAGAAAACACATGATTGTCTCCAACAGATGCAAAAAAAAAGCACTGATAAATTCAAACACCTTTTCACAATAAAACCACTTAACAAACCCATGGCCAATAGTAACTTACTGATAAAAGATGGAATGGCTTTTTCCTAAGATCAGAAACAGGAAAATTGAGAGATATTGGTGCAGGAATACAGACTTACAGTTATAAGATGATTAAGTTCTAGGATCTAATATATGGCATATGACTATACAGTAATAATGTATTATGTATGCCTGGAATTCCCTAAAAGTTAATTTTATTTTTGTGGTACCAGGGATCAAACTGAGGACCTTGCACTTATGAGGTAGGCGCAGTGCCACTGAGCTAAATCCCCGGCCCAGTAAATTTTTTTTTTTTGAGACACAGTCTCGCTATGTGGTTCAGACTGGCCTTGAACTCACTGTGTAGCCCAGGTTGGCCTTAAACTTGCAATGATCCTCTTGCCTCATCCTCCCTAGTACTTGGATTACAGTCATGCAACCTACCTGGCTCAAGAAAGTAAATCTTAAGTGTCCTCACCACACACACACAATACACACCATACACACACAGAAGCTGGCTGTAATGATAGGTGATTTGACTGTGGCAGTCATATCACAGTGTAAACAAATCATCACTTTATATATCCTCAATATATACATAATTTTGGTCAGTTATAGTTCAATAAATTAAATCTGGGGGAAAAAAAAACAATGATATCACCCTCACTACTTCTATTCAACATTATAGTGGAGATTGTAGCCTGAGAAATTAGGAAGAAAAAAAAGGCATCCAGTTGAACTGAAGAAATAAAATTATATTTGTCTGCAGTTGAAATGATCTTAAATATAGAAAATTGAAATAAGTCCACCAAAAAAACCCTTATTCAAAGATGCAAATAGAGCTGGAGGTGGTGGCATTCCTCTAATACCAGCACTCTTAGAAGCTGAGGCAGAAGGATCTCAATTTTAAGCCCAGCCCAGGCAACTTAGTGATGTAGCAAGACCTTGCCTCAAAATAAAATATAAAAGAGGGCTGGTGATAGCTGGGCTCAGTCCCAGGACTGAAAAAATATACATGTATATCTATGTATATATATATATATATATATATATATATATATATATATATGTCTAATATATCTGTATCTATATATGCAACAAGGTTGCAAGATATAAGATCAAAGTAAAAAATTAACCATATTCCTATATACCAGCAATTAGTAATCATAAAGTGAAATTAAGAAACAGTCCTATTAACAATAGCATCCACTGGCTGGGGATTTAGCTCTGTGGTTTCGCCACCTGCCTCACAAGCTCAAGGTCCAGAGTTCGATTCCCAGTACCAAAGAAAAAAAAAACAATAAAAAATTTTAAAAATCAATAGAGTTCAAAAGGATGAAAAACCTAGAAATAAACTTAACAAATAAAGTGCAAAATATGTAGTACTAAATGCATGTGCTGATGATCAACTGATTTTTTTACTGTTTTTTACCATAAGGATGTCAAAATTTCAATGGGGGAAAGAGTAGCTATTCAACAGTGTTGAGACAACCAGATAGCCACATGAAAAAGAAGGGTGTTGGACCCTTACCTCACACCATGTACAAAAATTAAAATGGATTGAAGACCTAAATATAAGAGGTAAAATTATAAAACACTCAGAAAAAAATAGAAGTCTTGGCAATAGGTTCTTAGATGTGACACCAAAAACATAACAACAAAACTCAGCTTTTGGTGATTCTTGGGACTGAACCCAGGGCCTTCACACTGAGCTACAGCCCCAGCCCTTTTTCATTTTTTGTTTTATTTTATTTTATTTTATTTTGGTACCCGATATCAAACTAAGACCTTGTGCTTTTGAGGCAGGTGGTGGCACCACTGAGCTAAATCCCTGCCCCTTATTTTTTATTTTGAAACAGGGTCTTGCTAACTCTTTGAATTTCCAAGGCTAAGTTCAAATTTCCTATCCTCCTGGCTCAGCACCCTAGAATGCTTAGAATATTACTCAGCTATAAAAAATAATGAAATATTAGTGGAAGTAAGGACTGAAATGTACAATGGATATTGGGAAATGGGAAGAATGTTCAAATGGGAAGGGGAACTAAGGAGGAGGGAGGAAGAAAGGAAAGGACAAGAAAAAAAAGTGAAAATAGGAAAAATGGAAACAAAGCTTTTGTACATAGGGAGGGGAGGGGGCTTGAGGGGAAAATGGAATAAAATAAAATAAAATTTATTAAATTTTTAAAAATAATGAAATATGGATAATATGCTACAAATGAAAGTATTATAAACATTTTGCTAAGTGAAAGAATTCAGAATCGCTTCTCGGCCTTTTGGCTAAGATCAAGTGAAAGAATTCAGATGCAGGGGCTGGGGATTTAGTTCAGTGGCACCACACCTGCTCTGAAAGAGGTCCTCAGTTCAATCCCCGGTACCAAAAAGAAAATTTAAAAAAGGCAAATGCAAAAGGCCATTTATTGTAATTCTATTTATTTTTTGTGGTGTTGGGGCTTAAAGCCAGGGTCTTATGCATGCTAGCCTCATTCTCTACCACTGAGCTATTATCTCGTAGCTTTTTATTTATTGAAATATCCATAGTTGACAAATCCTTAAAGACAGAAAACAGGTCTGTAGGGACTGGGGCAGAGGCCAAATGGTGAAGCACTGGGGCACATAGAATTTTCTTCAGGGATGATAAAAGTGTTCAGAAAGTAGACAGTGGTGTTTGCGCAACATTGTGAATATACTAATATCACTGGTGGTGAATTTTATGTTTATATATTTTACCACAAGTAAACCACATACCTATCATTCAGTTTAATAAATAAAGCTTTTTTTGGAGGGTTACTGGGGATTGAACCCAGGGTCTTTGCACTGAGCTTTCTCCCAACCCTTTCTTAAATTTTGTTTTTAATTTGAAATAGGCTCTAAAATGCTAAATTAATGCTAAATTGCCCAGGCTGGGCTCAAACTTGTGATCCTAACCTCTCGGTCTCCCAGAATGCTGGGATTATAGGTGTGCCACCACATCCAGCTGAAATAAAATGTTAATGATACACTAGTTTCAACAATAAAAATAGATTTAAATTTTTTTTCAAAAAAATAAATTAGAGCATTTTACTTCATATGATAAAACCAATGCCAGAATAATGTCCAGTTCAGAGCTCTTTTGGTTGACTGTGAGGAGCCAAGGTAGTGGACGGAGTAGCAAGGTCATACAATCCCAACTCTACTTTAGGAGAACCAGCTGGCTTATTTGTTTGTTTGCTTGTTTGCTTTTGAGACAGGGTCTCACTATGAGTTCAGGCTGGCCTCGGCCTCAAACTCGAAATCGTCCTGCCTCAGCCTTTGAACTCCTGAGATTATGGGCGTATCCCAAAACACAGTAAAACCATCTAGTTTTTGAAGTTTTTTGTTTGCAGTACAGGGCATTAAACCCTGGGCCTTCCACATGCTAGGCAAACTACCACTGAGCTACAACCCTGCCCTTTATGTTGAGACAGAGTCTCACTAAATCGCCCAGAATGACTTCACATTTATGATCCTCCTGCTTCAGCCTCTTTAGTGGTAGGGATTACAGGCATATGCCACCATACTGGGTGACTTCTTATTTCTTTAAAATGGAGTCTCATTGTATTGCCCAGGCTGCTCTTAAATTCCTGGGCTCAAGCAGTCCAGCCTCAGCCTCCCAAGTAGCTGGGACTATAGGTGTCCGGCATTTAGTTCCAGGAAAACCTTTTGACTGGCAGGAGACAGGGTGGAGGTACAAAATGCCTGTGTTACAATTGTCTGAGCCCCTTGAAGACTTGCAGTGGTTTTGGTAGAAATGGAAAGAGACTGTGGGAAACCACAGTTGGCCTTTGCATCTTTGCATCTTAGCCCAGTGCACCCATCCTGTTTCTGCTGCAGTCAGAGGCAGTGGGCTGGAAGATACTCTGCAGGGTCCTTCTCCATATGGGCAATCTAGAGCTTCCCTGAGAAAGGCCCCAGCCCAGGATGTATCAGGTAGCCTAGAGTGGTTCTTAAACAAGACATTTGCAATACAGTATTTGCTTTCTTAGCTTTGCCTAAGATAAATAGTAGCTGTCATTTATTGATCTTTTGTTAGGTGAATTATACACACAGCATTTTCTGATTAGCTCACATTTTTACAACCTTCTGATGTATTATTTCTGTCTAATTTAGGGATGAGTAAACTGAGGTTCAGAGAGGTGAAGAAACTTGCTCTTACGAGTAAGGGACTCGGTGTGGTGGCACTCTGCTGTAATCCCAGCACTTGGAGGCTGAGGCAGGAGGACTGCCACGAGTTCAAGCCCAGCCTGAACTCCAGAGCAAGACCCTGCCTCCAAAAAAAAAAAAAAAGGTGTAAAGGGACTTGGACTTCACACTGGACTCCAAAGCTTGGGTGCTCCCATAAGAAATAAATAGTTAAGGTTGAAGAACTTGGTGTTTTTGCCACCTTAATCATGCCTCTAATCCAATTTAAGCTCATTTTACTCTTCACTCAGAATGGCCAGTGTACTCTTACTGGTTTTCTGGAAGTTGGGTTTGTTTTTTTCATTTGTGTTGTTTTGGGATTTCTGAGACAGGGCCTCCCTGCCTCCCTATATAGCCCAGGCTTGCCTTGAACTCACCATGTATCTCAGGCTGTCCTTGAACCCCAGTGGATCCTCCTGCCTCAGCCTCCCACGTACTAGAAGTACAGGTGTGCTACCACACCCAGCTTGCTTTGTACTTTGGAGAGTCACCAAAAATAAATAAATAAATATTTTTTAAAACCCACCTTCTTTCTGTATAAATCTCTTCTAAGAATGTTGAGTTTGTCACATCATAGTCTGAGAAGGATGCAGCTGAAGAGCAAGGTCACACTCCTGGGGTTGGGTGTGAGGGCCTTCCACAAAGCTGGGTCTTTATTGTGCTAAGCCTCAGAGAAGAGGTGGGAACTGAAATAGGAAACCAGAGGCTGGCAGGCATTTGGCTCCTTAGGGAACTCGTGGCGAGGGCCCTCTAGCAAGGAAAAGAAAAGATGACCTTATCAGCCCAGAGCCAGCCAGGTCCAGGCTCCCAGACTGGAGACGAGTGAGCTTGTCTTCTCAAGCGATTATCTCAGTTCATGTTGCTCTTTTGTTCATTCCCTCTTGTCACCCCTGAGTCTTTGGTGAAAGCTTATTTGAAGGCTCCACCCGGCCACAGGGAATGAAGAGAAAAGCTCTGTCCACTTGAATCAAAGGCTAAAGTGGGGGGATCTCCAACGCTAGCTTGGTGTTGGCCGCATTAATTGTTAGTCACTCCCAAGGGACTAACACTCGGGCTATCTAAGAGGTTACACCACCAGGCACTTGGCATGTCTACAACTGTCCACCGGCACCAGCCACCGCCATGAGGAGCAGATGAGGAGTTGTGTTGGGAGCCAGGCCTGCCTTATCTTAGACCGTGCTTCTCAGACTGCGATTCAAATCCATTAGGGGGCATGAAATCAAGTGAGTGTCAGTCAGCACCCATTTTAAATGAAATAGAATAAAAATGACTATGTACTTGGAAAGTCTGTTTTGTGAGCTTTTAGTTATTAGAAGCATAACTGTGTGTTTGTGTATGTGTATACCTTGGGTAATGTAAAATATATTTCTTACTGTGTTTTAGGATCAGAATGGTTTGAAAACCACTGCTTCCAGTATAGATTGAATGAAGTCAGTGAGCTCAAGTCATCAAGGGGGAAAAAAGTGAGTCCTCAGAGTTTATTGAATTTTTCTTTCATTTTAGAATTTGTATGCTCAAAGCTTGCACTTTAACACATGTAAAAAAAAATCTTTAAAAGTTATTTGGGTGATTTCATGTAGGAATTGTGTGCTATTTATTTGTTTAAGGCGCTGCGAACGTCTTTTGTTTCACCTCCCAGGAATGAAGACACACATCTACTGGTACATTTGGGTGCCTTGAAACTGGTCGTTGATGAGGCTCAACTTTTTTAACCTCTCTATTCCTTTCAAGAGTGGAAGGCATCTGGGCTTGGTAGTGCCTGCCGGTAATTTCAGCACTGTATGAGGCTGAAGCAGGAGGATTGCAAGTGTGAGCCAAGCCTGGTTGGAGATGTAGCTCTGTGCAAGGAAAATAAAAAAGAGAGTAGAAGGCAGTAGTGCTTGCCTGTATTCTCAGCTACTCCAGAGGCTGAGGCAGAAGAGTCACAGGTTTGAGACTAGCCTGGGAGTGAGACGCTATCTGGGGGTGGGGCGGGGCGGGAGGGGGAGAATCAGTGGTTCAGCAGTGCATACCATGCTCAAGGGCCTGGGTTTAACCCTCAGAACCACACACACACACACACACACACACACACACGTGCGCGCTCGCGAAGGCTTTGGCATGTTCCTGTTGCTTGTGTGGCACAGCTCACATAGGTTTGCCATTCATAGGGCACTGTGACCCTTCATGTTAAAGAAAGATGCAGGTGTAATTCTTTAGCCAGTGAACAACTACTCATCAACCCTCAATTTCTTGGTCCTAGTAGTTTTATTGTAAGCAACAATGTCATTGTATAAATTGTTTCGGGTTTTGGGGTTTTTTTGGAGGCGGTGTTTGTTGACATAGAATCCCACCCTATAGTCCAGGCTGCCCTCAAACTCACAGTCCTCCTGCCTCAGCCTCTTGAGTGCTGAGATTATAGGCCTCACTGATATGGCTTCATGCCTGGCTTCCACTGTATATTTTACCTGTATTTCTGGGGTTGATAGGTCACAATGTGCCCTCTCACTCCCTCTGCTCCCTTGAGTTTGAGTAATGATGTGTTTATATCATTAATTTTGAACCTTAATCACACCAAATCACATGTGACTAAACTGCTTCATATGTATATGCCATAGTTCATGTTAATTCATTTATAACCCAGACACTTTTCCTTGGATTATAGATTTGGTTTATAAGCTATGTACTCAGATATTTATTTCCTTCTAGGTTATCACAGAAGGACAATAGCCTCTCAGATTGAGGGGAAAAAAAGAAAAGTAGAATTCTTTACCAAAACATGAACAAGTAATTTCTTTTTGATACCGAGGATTGAGCAGAGGGTCTTTGCACTGAGATATACCTCCCACCGTTTTTTATTCTGAAACAGGGTTTTACTAAATTGCCCAAGCTGGGCTTAGACTTTTTTTGTTTTTGTTTTGGTACCGGGGATCGAACTTGGGTCCTTGCACTTGAGCAGCAGGCGGGGAAACCACTGAGCTAAATCCCCGGCCCCAGGCTTAGACTTTTGATCCTCCTGCCTCAGGTTCCCAAAGTGCTGAGACTACAGGCACTACTGATACCTCTGCACTGATATCAGCCAATAATCAATAAATTATAGATAGTTTAATGAAAAACCAAAGAAATCCTAGCCAAAGTAAAATTAGTTCTTACTAAGTATAAATAGTCAACTCCCTGATAATTATTCTACTTCAGATGACTACTGTAAACCCTGACCAGGCTTACACTCAGAATAGGGATGTGACCAATTGTGCCAGGTTTTTAGAAATACTTTCTCATTCCCAAAAGTGAGAAAGTCTTCTTTCTGTGGATGTTGGCACAGTTGGGTTATGATGCCAAAAATTTGTTTTTGTATAGTAAGATTTTTTATTATATAGCTAAGTGTAAATAATACATTCTTAATATGACAGTGTAGAAGGATAATGAAGTTGAAGAAATATGATAAAATGTTTCAATTCAATACCTAAAATTTCTGAAAGTATTACTTTTTTTAAAAAATTGTATGCATTTATTGGGTAAGTGTGAACAATTTGATATATGTATATAATATGTAATGACCAGGATAATTATCATTTCCAACTCCTAGTTTGTTTTTTAAGAAGCTTGAAACTCCTTTCTTTTAGATTTTTTTTTTCTTGGTACCAGGGATCAAACTCAGGACTTTGTGCTTTCGAGGCAGGTAACAGAACCCCTGAGCTAAATCCCTGGCCCTTCTTTTAGATTTTTATAAGACATAGAAGAAGCTGCTGTGAACTGTAGCCAGCCTCCTGCAATGCAGAACACTAACAGTTGTTCCTGCTGAGTCACAGTGCCACTACCACTTGAGGCACAGTAAGGGATGAGAGAGAGCCAGTCATGGTGGTGCACGCCTGTGATCCCAGCACTCAGGAGGCTGAGGCTGGAGGATTGCCATGAGTTTGAGGCCAGCCTGCGCTACATAGCAAGACCCTGTCTAAAAATTTTTTTAAAGCGGGGGAGGGGTAATGGATGAACCTTAGATCTCGCAGCCATATCAGTAGCCCTAGCCCTCCCTACCTCTGAACTTCCTTGCTCTGTCAGATGATAGATTTCCTTATTGTTTGCATACTATTCAAAGAGTGAATGGCTCTATTAATTATTAACAACCAAAGCATCTGATCTGATCTATTACCTGTTAGTGCCACTTGCTTACACTGATTTTCCCCAGATGCTGTTGAAATGTTTTCTTCAATTCATTCTGTGTTTCCCTGTGTGGTCAGAGAGCCTTCTGAAAAATAGCCATGGCAACAGGTCCTCAAAACCTCCACAGCTTGTCAGGGTTACTTTACATCAGAGCCCCCATTGAAGCACACAGACTTGCTGGGCAGGCTGGGAAGGAGCTCTGCGGCAGAGCGCTTGCTTCATGGGAGCAAGGTCCTGGGTTCCATCCCCAGCACTGCAAAACTGAAGAATGAAACTCCCAGGTGTCCAGTTTTGGATCACTCGCTGCGCTGTTTGAATTCTGAGAGCCCCGACTAGGTTGCTCGAGGAGACTTCCGATCCCACGGTGCCGTTCTTGTCTGTGCTTCTGACCCAGATTGAGAAGGCCACTCCCAAACACTCTTTCCAGAGCTCCTCTGGTCTTTCAGCCTCACCTATTATAATTCCTGATCCAGTCCCTCTTGGACATTCAGTGTTTTCATGTTTACTTTCTTATTTTTTATTTTTTGGCCCTTTGAGACAAGATCTCACTACTTGTAGCCCAGGCTGGGATCAAGTTTGTGATCCTCCTGCCTCAGCCTTCTGAGTGCTGGGATTATAGGTGTATGCCACCACACCAGCTCATCATATCCATTTAAAGCATTCACAGGAAGGAACTAAATCACTCAGTGACCACTGGAGAAGAATTTTAGCAGGAACATCCATAATAGTGGTTGACAGTTTCTATGCCTATTTTCATTCTTGAGGTTAGGAAAATTTATTAGTTGTTAACTTTGTATCCTCTGCCCAAACGTCTATAAACATTTCAGATGCATATTGAATTTAGTTTAAATATTTCAGAGAGAGAAGAGAATCAGAAAGATTTATTTCAAGAGCAACTCTTATTAATTAAATATGACTAGTAATTATTTAGTATATAAAGTTAATAAGATCTTTAATACAGCCATTTGTCATTTATAGACCATCAATCTATTAACCCAAGTAATCAGTTCTGGTTTCCTTTCAGCTCCACTTAGTAGGGTTTAAGAATAAGTACATGGGGCCGGGGATTTAGCTCAGTGGTTCCGGCGCCTGCCTCACAAGCACAAGGTCCCGAGTTTGATTCCTGGTACCAAAAAAAAAGAATAAGTATACAGATCTTTCTACAGCTTGTTTTTTGTATAATAACTTCTTGCACTCTACCTTATCTATACTTACCGATACAAAAAGCAGTCAAAATATGTTATAGAACCTATATTGCTATATATTAACTGAGTGGAATTTAATTTCCTACCCATCCAAATATTTTTCCTTCTAGTTAACTATAAATCATTTCCTCTTGTTCTTCTTGTAGTACACTCTTGAATTACTTTCTTGCTATAAAATCTTGTGAACTATTCAATATGTGTTAGGAAAACATGCTGTATCCACATTTCTATTTTTTTTTCCTGATACTGTGGATTGAACTCAGAGTCTTTGCACTGACATATAGTACATATTAATACCCCCCCCCTTTTTTTTTCTATTTTGTAACAGGGTCTCCCTAAATTGAGCTGGGTTTGGGCCAGGGATTTAGCTCAGTGGTGCTGCCGCCTGCCTCCCAGGCGCAAGGTCCCAAGTTCAATCCTCGGTACCAAAAAGAAAAACAAATTGAGCTGGGTTTGACCTTGCAACCATCCTGCCTCAGTCTCCCAAAGTGCTAGGAGTACAGGCATATGCCACTATGCCTGGCTACTCCAAGGGTTTTGGGTTTTTTGTTGTTTGTTTGGTAAGCAATTTAACAGCAAGTTTGTTTTTTTTTTTGGTACCGGTGATTGAACTTGGGTCCTTATGCTTGCAAGGCAGGCGGCCGAACCACTGAGCTAAATCCCTGGCCCTTAACAGCAAAATTTTCAAAACTTTTGTGAAAAGAATGAAAGACTGACAAAAAAACATTTTGTGCTTCAAAGAACACTATAAAGAAAGTGAAAAGGAAAATGGGAGAAAATATTCGCAAATCATACAACTGATAAGAGACTTGTACCCAAAATATATAAAGAATATTTATACTCAATAATAAAAAAATGCAGGACCAGAGGTTTAATTCAAGCACTTGGGAGCACTGGCATGAGAATTCCCACAGGTTCAAGGCCAGCCTGGGCTACATAGTGAGTTCAAGGCTAGCCTGAACTCATAGCAAGACCCTGTTCAAAAGACAAAACAAAAACCAAATAACCAAACTTAAAAATGGGCAAAGTATTTGAATATACAATTCTCCAAAAAAGATATACCAATGGCTAGTAAGCACATAAAAAGATGCTCAACATCATTAGTTTTTAGGGAAGTA